AAGTACCGAGAATTTGTCATATTAATTCATTGATATATATGAATTAATATGACACATCATCGGTATTTAGCATAAGATGAGCACCGGCGATTAGTGTTTAGTTTGTGTTAAGTATCGGTGCTCATTAAATCATTTTTCTGTATATATATAATGTTTTTATTTGAAATCAGTAATTATTAATTTATTACAAGAAATGGTAAATGGTAATTTAATTGTTTGAATTGAGTACATTTAACACCTGCTTGGTTTAGTTAAAAATTAGGTTTAATAAATTTTGATATAAACATATGAAATGTATAATTAAAAATCGATAAAAATTATAGGCTCCATAAAATGTATGGTTAATAATAAGTTTGAGAAAAAATACTCAGGCTTGGTTTGGTTTAAAATTAAATTTTTATTAAATTTTTACAAAAGTTAAATAAATGTGTGGTTAAAAAGATGATAAAAATTGTGAGTTCCATAAAATTTGCCGTTGAAAATAATTTTGAGCAAAAAGTTAATTAGTTATTTTACATTGTAACATGATCAATTTTTAATTAAGCCCTTGTTTGAGCCCCATTATTGGCAAAAAATTGCACTTTGAATAGTGTATTGATGAGAATGTGTGGTTATAAAATAAAGAAAAGTTATGAATTTGTGTGTAATATTATTCAAAAGCGCAAAAAATGCACTTTTGAATAGTGTATTGATGAGAATGTGTGATTGTAAAATAAAGAAAAGTTATGAATTTGTGTGTAATATTATTTTATTGAAAAATATGTGGTGGAAGTGAGGTCAAATCACTGTTGAAGAATATATTTTAATAAAAGAAAATTTGGCTCAAATAAGGGCTAAATACTGTTTTGATGGTATAATCCAAAAATAATACTCATAATTTAAAACTTGAGCAAGTAATCTCACAAACTTGAGGTTACGAGCATCAAACAATAATATATAGGGATTTTGTCCCAACTTTAGTTGATGATGATCAATTACCAATTTATAATACAGAGAACAAGCATTATGTGAGAATTCATTGTATTAAATAATCTTCTAGTTCTTCGTTGAATTCTATTAAAATTCTTAATAATTTTTTTCTCATATCGATATTGAATCTAGACAGTTTGATCGGTCACGTAAAATAATAAAATAAAATAAAACTTCTGGTTCAATATATAATTTGCTTCGCTTCAATTATACTAACTAACATGTAATTTATAAACATGTAAGCTTCTTTTTATATGTAATCAAGAACAAATTACTAGTAATAGTAATTTTTTTTTCCTCATGTTACTTTAATAATGACTCTTTTGGAGACTTTAATTAGATATGTGAAACTTGATAGTGTATTAATGTTAGCTTTTATCATTCATCCATATCTCCTTCGAGAAGTCATGATAAGCTCGATAGAATGATTAGGATATGACATATCACATATATAAAACTAACATAATGTTCGTAAATTTTGGTCCAACATAATGTAATGCAAAACCAATAGAATACAATGTATCAAATATTGGTTCATAATTGATAGCATAAAATTTGCTGTGTAACCTCCTTAAAGGATAAATAATTATTCATAAAATTCATATTTAGGTAATATCTCTTAATGAGATTAAGCCCTTGTTTGAGCCTCATTTTTATCAAAAAATATTTTTTTCTTCTTTTCAACCACACAATATTCAATAAAATAATATTACACGTAAATAAATTTTTTCCCCTTATTTTCCAACAATATATTCTCAAAAAAATCACTATTCTAAAATACATTTTTAACCAAAAATAGAGCTCAAACAAGACTTAATATTTTTCAATTCTTCGTGCAACATCGAGTGCACAATAAAAAGCTTTTTGAAAATGTTCATTCATGTAGAATAATGCTTCTTCAGATAGCTTAATATTTTTCAAAGATTATTGAAATTTGTAATTCATGCTCTTCAGTGACAAATAATATTATACCATAATATTAATAAAATATTATGTTTTATTAGAAACAAAAATAAATTATTGTTCTAAAATTACAAAAGATTTACTCTTCGAGAGCAAAAATATAATATTCTTATATAAAATTATGATTGAAATAAATTTACATGATATTTCTTTATAATATTGTTTTAATATAGAGTCGTGTTTCACCAAGAACAAAGGACATAATAATCTTTTGGAAAATTGATATATACTAGATTATGATTGTTCACGTGTGATATAAGATTTTTATTTTGAAAATATTAAAATATTTAAGTTAACTATATATTCTTTTAACATATTGATATATATAAAATTGTACTTCTTGAGGAACACAACATGATAACCTTCAAGAATAATTACTATATATCATTTAATGCGTATTTAGGATCTATTATGTGATATTCTTCTGAAGTATTTATATTAAATATGTTGTGTTTCTTCGAGAACATTTAGCCTATGCTTGGCTCTCATATTTGCAAAAACTCATTATTTTTTAAGACTAATTTTCAATCACACGTTTGGAATGGGTACACTTGACGATATGAATCATTTGTTAACAGGCGTGATGATTAATTGGACCTTTAATTAATTAACATTCTCAAAAAAAAAAAAAAATTTATAAGGAAATCCGAAAATTTTACTTATTTTTTAACCATATATCTTTCAACAAAATATTATTCCAAAATACATTTTTGACCCAAAAATGGGACTCCAACACGACAACACGCACTTAGTACAAATACAACTTTTAGTTATACTTCTTCAGGAATGTAAACATCATTAAATAATTTGATGGATAATCTTAAACTACTTGATATATAATGTAAAGAAAAAAAAAGAATAATAAAATAACCAATAGACTTGTATTATTAAGGGGGCAGTTAAATTGGAGTACTTTTCAAATTTAATAGATGTAGAAATTTTCAAG